ATAAGAAAAAGTAGTCACCGGAATGATAGCACGGTGCTACACAAATTAGATATAAGAAAATAGTCACCGGAATGATGGCACGGTGTTACACAAATTAGATGTGAGAAAATAGTCATCAGATAGATACACGATGACCCAACTTTTGCTAACATAATCATTGGCCAGACGGGCAGCATCTATGGGTGCCACCCGCCGGCAGCGGAAGCTCTTTAAATCTCTACCAAGTTCGTAGAGGCTCTGATACCATGTGAGAAATATAGGAAAAGAATATTATTGAATTGTTGTTGTGTACATTATTACATTGAGACCCTATTTATAGACCCTAGAATACAATCATTTACCAAGTAGGATACTATTTAGTATTCCTATTTCTATTTCTATTACTATTCCTTTTCTAATAGAATTGTATATACCTATTTCTATTCTAATAGGAATGTATAAATCTATTCCTATTCTAATGGGATTGTATAAACCTATTCCTATTCTAACAAAAGTCATACTTCAAGTTTGAAAATTGACGGTTGGAAACAGAGGGTTTCAATGAAAGAGCGCAAGTGTGGTGGGACTCTTTCACCTTTAGTGGAAAGGCAGACTACATTCTGGTGGCGAAACTAAGAGCTCTACAAGGGAAATAGAAGGAGTGGAGTAAGACTTCTCAAGGTAACTTGGGTATTCAGAAGCACAATGTTTTGAGACAGCTAACTCAACTAGAGGAGATTCAAGAACACAGAGCACTAAAGGAAGAAGAGATAGCTTCTATACTAGCACTCAATATGGAATTTGGAGACATAGCTAAAAGGGAAAAGACTATATGGAGAAAGAAATCCATGACAATATGATTAAAGCAAGGGGATAGAAACACTAGGTTTTTCACAGAACTGCAAATACTCACAAAAGAATTAACACAATTGACAAGCTAAAAGTTAGAGGGAAAATCTTGGCTAAACCAGAAGAGGTGCAGGAGGAGATTGTTGCCTACTATGAGAAGTTATACTCTAAGTGAGAAGATTAAAGACCACAGCTAGATATGAGGAATTGCCCCATGATAGGAGAAGATGAAAACAATTTGATGATGGCACCATTTGAACAACAAGAGATCCTCGAGAACATAAAAGCATGTGCAGGTGACAAAACACCAGGGCTGGATGGGTTCTCCCTGGCATCCTTTAGTCATTGATAGGGAATTATCAGTCTAGAGTTGGTTGCAACAGTGCAAAACTTACATAAGGTAGGAATTTTTTAAAGGAGACTCAATGCCACCTTTGTGGCTCTAATTCCTAAGAAGATAGGAGCTATGGAGTTCAAGACTTCAGACCTAGAATATGATAGGAGGGGTTTACAAGATCATTGCCAAGCTACTGGCAGAAAAATTGAAAAAAAGGCATACACCGACTAGTGGACAAACAGCAGACGACATTTATAAAAGGCAGATAAATCATGGATGCACTGCTGATAGAAAATGAGTGTGTGGCTGGAGTCCAGGCAAAGAAGTTAGTTGCCTGCTATTTTACGTAAGCTAGACAAACAGAAGGCATATGATCACCTGAATTGGAAGTTTCTGATTCCCATGATGCAGAGGATGGGATTTGGAGCTACATGGATCAATTGGGTAAAATATTGCATTAGTACAGTTAATTCTCTTATTATTAATTAAGAGAACCCCAAGTAGTTTCTTTTCCTGCCAGAGGAGCTTGAGACAGGGTGACCCTCCATCCTATTTTCTCTTTATCCTAGCAATGGAAGGAACGACCAACATTATTCAAACAAAACCAAGGAAGAAAGGTTGGGTCAGAGGATTTCAGGTGGGCAACAGGGCAGCGAACAATGTGGAGATAACTCATCTGTAATATGCAGATGATACTTTAGTTTTTTGTGAAGAAGTGAGAGGACACATGTTGATCATGAGGGTAATATTCATCATATTTGAAGCAATTTCTGGGCTACACATCAATTGGGGGAAGAGCTTGATATATCCCATCAATTATATGTAGGGGAGGTGGAGAACTGGCAACAATTCTGGGAGGCAAAGTGGGTGAGCTTCCAACAATATCTTTAGGCATGCTTTTGGGTGCCAAAAGTAAATCTAGGAGAAGTTGGAATGGAGTGGTAAAAAAGCATGAGAAGAAGTTAACTAACTGGAAAAGTCAATATCTTTCCTTGGGAGGAAGATTGACTTAGGTTAATAGTGTTTTACATGCATTACCTTCTAGCATGATGTCTGTTTTCCCAGCCTCAGACAGTGTGATAGAAGAGGATAGATGCATTAAGAAGGAATTCTTCTGGCAGGAAATGAAGATAAGAAAAAAAGATAAGAAAAAGTTTCATTTGGTTAGTATTTAAGTGGAGAAGGGTAGAGGGCGGGCCCATTATCCACAGAGTTTAGAAGGCTGTGATTGGTCCAAAGGGCGGGTCACAGACGGATTTCTCGGTTATCAAAAAAAAGTTTCATTTGGTTAAACGGAGGGAGCTAACAAGAAGAAAAAAAGGAGGTGTGGGTATTAGAGACATGAAAATGCACAACAAAAACATAATGATGAAATGACTACGGAAGTTTGTAACAATTGACAATATGCTATGGGAGGAGGTTATTAATGAAAAATATGAAATGGAGGGTAAATGGATAATAATGATGGTGGTTACCCCATATGGATGTAGCATTTGGAGATCCATCAGGAACCTTTGGCCACTAGTTTTAACTAGAACCAACTTCAAAGTGGGAAATGGCATGGAAGTGTCCTTCTAGGAAGACAAATGGACTAGACAGGACCCTCTAAAATAACTCTATCCAGACATCCATACTTATGCCTTGACCAGCAGGTCACTGTGGCTGACATGTGCACAAGACATGGGTGGAATCTGCCGAAGGTATCTGAATGATTGGAAAATGGAGAAGATAGCAGCTTTCAACAACACAGCTGCCCATTTGAGTAATTTAACTGGGGCAGATGGCACAATAGTTTGGAAGATAGACAACAAGGGAATCTTCACTATCAACTCTGCATCTAGAGATCTAATGCTTCAACAATCAGGAGAAGAGATGGCCATGAAAAATGATATGGAAAGTAAAGATACCATACAAGGTGAACTGTTTTTCTGAGTTGCTGGCAAAGGAAGCAGCGTTGACACACGAAGATATGAAAGAAAAAAAAAAGAGGTCTCCAGCTTTGTCCTGGATGCTATTTATGTGGGGAACAAGCAGAGTCAACCATCTTTTTTACATTGCATGTGGACAGAGCAGCTTTGGAGGACCTTCATCAGCTTAAGAAAGACCAAATGGGTAAAGCCAATGAATGTAGAAGGTATCTAAAATACTGGAACAGTGTGGGCAATGCAACAGAAAAGAAAGAGAGATGGAAGATTGTCCCAGTTATGGTGGACACTGTGGAAAGAAAGAAATCAGAGATGTTCAGAGGGAAAGTAGAACAATTTACTGAAGTTCAAGATGAATTGTTTAGCCCTTTATTACTTTTGGTGTAAGCAGGAAGTGTTGGCACAAACAGACGACATTTTTCATGTTTTAGATTATTTGTAACAAAAAGTACAAATGGGAACTCAAAATTATAAGTTGTAATACTTATTTTTATTTGGGAGGGGGGGGAGGCAAAAATTGTCCATCTCTCTATGGCGACATTTGAGCAATCTCATTTTCCGCCATATTCTCACTAATTAATGGTAACTCTCAAATCTTAGTTTCTTAATCATAAAAGGATAGAACTTTGAAATTTACAGAGATATATCACAACATCAATATTGGCTGACTTTGAATTACAACACAGTAAAAATATATGGCAGGCAAAAAAAATTCTGAATACATCTGTGGTAGCCTAGTAAGAGGGTGGCTAAAGTAGAATGTGAATGTTGTAGGGAGTATAACTTTCAGAGGCTTAAAATCTAAAGTTATTTGAATCAACTTATCTCAATATCACTTAATTAGCAAAGTGATGATTGTTCTTAGATTGATTCCTCCAAATCATATATGCCCATCATGTTTCTGAAATGATCTTTTACGGATAGAATGAATTCGAAAAGGAAGCCAACTGAAAATATTTTGAGTAATTTAACATACATTCCTCCAAGTTTGCCATTGTCAAAATAAATTAGTTCAAGAGAAAGATCGTTTTTTTTAACTTGAATTAAGAGTTTGAAAGATAAACATCACTCTCCAATATTAACTGATTTAAAAGATATAACTTTTGATAAAATCCAAGTTGTAGAAATATTACATATCTAATGATGGCTACTTCCAAAAGAAACGTGTGTACTATAAAAAATTATTTATGATTTCATACAGATGACAAAAAGAGATGGGTTTACGATTTAATGATGACATAAAAAAATGACAAATGAAGTTAGAAACATGTAAAAGAATTATTATTATTTTTCAATTTGATTTGAGAAATTAGCGTAAAAATAGTTAATTAAAATATATTCTTCTCTATATAGAATCATTGTTTCTTTTTAGGTTATTTTACCACACAATGTATGATTATGATATTTGATTTCTTTCAAAAGTTATTCAATGACTGTGATTCATTTTCTTAGTTTGATAAAGTTTCTTTTGTTATATATATTGCACCGAAAACCATAATAATAACCGTGGTGTCCAAGTCAACTTTCACGCAACTCGAATAATTCCACGGGATATCTGTCACCGCCCACTAACAACAGATTTCCAGCAACAACAGAAATGGAAAGAATCACCTAGTGTTTTTGCCACTAACTTACTCGGAAAGCAAACTACTTCCTAATGGAAATCTTCAGGTCCTAAAACAGCAGGCCCCAACCAATTCGAGGTTGAAACACAGTAGAGTGATTAACACTATCTTTGTTTGTTTAGTTGGCTTCTTCAACCACTTTTCAGATGCATCGTTCGTTCAATTTTTCAAGGGAATAAATTTTCGATTATCAAAAAGGTGAAAAATACAATCTAACACACATAAAAAGCAGAAATTTTTCATACCCAAAGAACAGAACATAAAAAGCAGGCAAAAGTGCAATACCTCAACAGGTTCAGGTTTTTTTTCAGATTCATTGGAACCCACAAAAGACTGAAGAGGAGCAGTGGTTGCATAGTAATCGTCATCATCTTCATCACCAACATCTGCCCAAGATTTCACCGTCAACGGCGCCGGAGCCCACAAAACTTCCGGCTCCTGTTCCTTCTTCGACGACCCTTTACTCTTCTCCTTATCAGATTTCTTCTTCTTCCTCAGAGTATCAAGCGCCGCAAATACATTGGAATTCTTCACCATCACAGACCCTTCTTTACTCCCCATCATTTCAACCAAGTAAACCCAATATTTCTTCTTCAATTTAGGGTTTGGAGAAGTTGTTGGATCAGCAGATAACAGAGACTGAGAAAGAAGAATGGAGGTTTTATATATATATCAATATATTTTATAATTTTTATCAAAGAGACACCAATTTTATGTATAATTGCGCAATTATGCAACATGCTTTCTTAATTACCAAAAAAAAAATGTAGCATAACCTTTCCACAAACTATACAATTTATGCGGATTCAGAATTTGAATTAGTTCATTATCAAAAATTTATAATTATTTAGTAAATTCGTTAGAAAAGTATGAATAAAAATGAATGAACTTTATATATTTGTAAATTAAAAAAAAAATTGTCACTCTGAACAAAGTGTAATATCTTCTATGTATTTGGTTTCAAAAATGGGCGTAGAACTCAACTCAAATGGTTCTTTAAATACAATTTTTTTTTTTGGAATTATGCATGTGTGCTAAAAATAACTTCATTTAATAAATATTGATGATTAATTTCGAATCAAAAATATCAAATGAGTTATAATTAAATTCGGAATTAAAATTTATGAAGTTCAAATTTCGAAAATCACCTATGTTTTTTTGTCTAAGTTATCATACAAAGGATCATTTGCACTTCCTACCTGACTAATGATGTCTTATATGTTTGTCTTCACATATAACAAACATAAAATTTATATTTGTATGTTATAGCTATAATTTACATAATTGCGCTCTATAGCAAATTTTATGTTTGCTATGGAGCTTTTGATTTGTATAATTCGCTAGATACATTCAATTTTATACAAATAGTTCAATTTTGTATAAATTCATTTATACATTGTAATTTGTATAATAAGATCTGTATTTGTATAATTATAAGTGTATAGGACGAAAATATATGTATTTGTATTTGTATTTGTATATACATTTTTCTCTTGCTTTATACAAATACAAACACATTTTATACCGAAATGTATAAAATGGCTAATTGTATACCGAAAATGGCTAATTGTATACCGAATCATATGGCAAAAAAATGAGATGTTTGCTACGAATTACAAATAAAATAAATTATGGCTATAACATTTAATTTGAATTAATAGTTTGTTATTTCATACAATTTTCCCATTAAATTATGAGAACCTTTCTAAATAGGAAAACATTATAAGAATCAAAATAAGTGAACATTTTGAAGACTATATAGTGATTTATTTTAAAATTTACAAATTTTATAGATTTGGCTTACCATATAAAAACTTGAGTTTAATACTATTTTGTCTGTTATTTTTTAATATCCGTTTATGATCGTTACTAGCAGTTATTTATTTTTCTTTCTTATCATTTTCGATGCGGTCATTGTCCGTTGTCCCTCAATTAACATCTCAAATTCAGAATCTACCCTTTTAGATTCTCCTATCTCTTCAAGTTTCCAAGCAGGTAGGTCTTCGTATGTTACCATTCTATTGTACCCTCCAAATTCAACTAATTGAAGTAGGCAAATTCTGATAGTAGCTAGAAGAGTCGTTTATAATGAGATGTCGGCTATGATTTTCAAGACATAAAACTACTATGAAGGCATGGTCAATTTGTGTAGAGACAACAATTATTGATCGATTTCTAAAATTAAGGCTCCAAATTAACAATGGTTAGGTCAATATTTGTAAAAAAATTATCTTACAACATCGATCAGTTAAAAGTTAAAAGTCTAGAGTGTGTGATAATTTCAACATTTTATTAACCTTTAATAACAATAAAGATTTCAATGTGATGTTATAGAAGAGGGTGATTGATATTGAAGATTATAGAATTTGGCTACAAAAATATACTCTAAATTTCAAGTTATGGGAGAAAATTATAATTGTTCAATATTGATGTCCTTACTAAGTTTGTCCTTTCACATGTACACATAGAATTATGCTAATAAATGAGAAAAATACATAATTATCCCATGAAATTTATATTCTTTTTTGAAGTAGACACTTTAAGTTTGTAAAAGTCATATTACCCCACGAAATTATTTCGAATCACAATAAATACACCATTTTAACAGCATCTGCAATCTCATTACCAATGAGTGTGTCGCACCCCAAGTGAAACAATGTAACTTTATTTTTTCCTAGCCTTTTAATAAAGGGTTGGGTAAAACCCAGACCCGTTCAAAATCTTGACAAATTTCCTTTTTTATCTTAAACATTTTGTACATAAATCATGACGAAGAAGAACATTGTGATGGAGAATTTTAGAAACTCCATTGCAGATGTTTGTAGAACTTTAACAGTGACTGATAGAAGATGCTCCATTATTGGAGAGTTTCATAGTGGCAGCGCAAATGACATCTTCTTTGTTTATGGGTACACAAGAATGTGATCAAGTTAAGTAAGCAATACGGGCTCAATGTGATCAAAACCCTCTTCGAAGAAACAGAGAAAGAACGACGGATGCATCATATGACCTTCATCGATCTATCAGTTATCAAACACTAAATGGTACAAACATGCATTAGTCGTTGCAGTCCAAGGTGTATTCTTCAACTCATTCTTATTTGGTGTCACCAAAATTGGCTAATCAGATTGTTGGGTGCTTAGAGGATGAAGCAGTGAATTTGCAAGCAGAGTTTTTTGATTGATATAGAGAAGAGACTTTTTGAGAACTCTGCCAACTCCAGAAGATCATATGGCATCTCACGACCTTTATAGATCAAATTATTGGATTGACAGAAGATTAAAAAAAAAATGAATGTACATGGAGAGCTCTTCAATGGCCATCAATGGGGGTTTGTGGAAGATGGAAATTGGTCTATTTAATAAAGAAAAAATAAATAAATTGGTGACACCACATGGCACTAAAACACTCGTATATGGGTTAATTCTTAGTACTGATTCACGCGCCTCTCAAACGTGAAATTGAACATACTCTGAAAATGGGTTAAAATGGTGTATTTATCATAGTTAAAAGTAAATTCGTGGGGTAATAGATCTCTCGCAAACTTTAGGTGTCTACTTTAAAAAAAAGCATAAATTCCATGGCGTAATTATGTATTTTCTCGCTAATAAATAACTGATGCAGTGAAATTTTTCATTGAACTTGATATAGCCACAAAAATTAAATAGGTCAAATATGACTAACATGCAAGATAGATTTGTTGAAACCTTTGGATCATAGTGTGTGTTTGTACAAAAGAAAATAATCCACTAATATATATATATATATATATATATATATAACCATTTATATTGGGCTAATTCTTTTGTTAGAAAAAGAAAATTTGAACTTTTATAAATTGAGGATCCAACAAATCACGATGTAGTTCGTTAAGAGATTTGAAGAGGGTTTGTTTAGGGGAATTAGTTCTCTCAATACTTTTATATTAGTAGATTGTTTATTTTGTTTCATATGTATGTAGATCAATAACAAAACTATGTTAAATTATTCTCTCTTTTCTCCTTTTTTCGATTTTTCATCGCTTAAGATTTACGTTTTAACTTTTGCATGACATTTAACTATTCCGATCCTAGCAAAATCCGTCTATTTCACAAGAGACACCTATCTGTAAGGGGATAAAATTGTGTTCACTCATATCCTCTTAAATCAGTATCCTCCACACAAAACTTTGTGTTGTTTCTAGAAATGCATGCGCATGACAATTGTCCGCTTCTACGTTACGTAACACAATTTCCTCGAAGAAACAGTATCAACTACCTCTATTTTGTTCTACATATATACATGACAACATTTTACATTACTTTTGAAAAACAATAGACTTAAAACAACATTCTTTATTAGTAATTAATTCATTATGAAAAAATACAAGAAAGGAAGAGGTTAGTGCTAGTTGACTCCAACTAATTCAATGATTAAGGCTATGTTTATGAATTATTTCAAGAAAATACTTTCCAAAACATATGACAGTTCTCAGTTTTGGCATGACTTTTTTAAAATGTAGAATGCAGTCAAGCTGAGCTTCCACATTCAATTAAACAATTCAATGAATTGTATAAAATACGGTATTTTTTCCACAAGTCAAGTTGGTACCAATGTTGACACCCAATTTTGGCTTAACATTTTCAAAAATTCGCAAATTTTAAGTTTTATTTATCTAATGGTTCAAAATATTTTTTTTATAATTTTAAATAAGTTTACCGATAACTATCTTTATTTATCAAAATGTAGGATTTTTTATCAGTTAATTTTAAAATTACATTTTTTACATGTCATTAGTACGTGCATTATATTTATTTTAATTCATTTTATTTGTTACATTTTGTTAATATTGATATTTTGCATAATCTAAAAAATTCATTCAAATACAGATATAAATCACATAAATATGCTATGTTATAAAAATATTTACCATCTATGGCAACATAATTTTTCTAACTAAATATAACATTTTTTTGGAATTAAGAAAATTGTACAGTCTTTGCCTCTTTCTCAGCCCTTTTTCCTCTTCTTCTTTTTACTCTTCTGCTTCTTCGTCTCTTTCTCTGACACTATTTTTCTTCCTCCTTTTTTTTTTTTTCTTCTTCTTCTTCTTTGAAATTTTCATTTAAATAACTATCCTCAAATCAGTTTTTTCCCATATTTCACTATTTTTATCCAAAAGTAAGATGAAAAGAGGAATAGAAAGACCAAAAATTTGTACAAAATCATGTTTTTAAGCAGAAATTTTAAATCTCTAAAATTACAGAAGCAAGAGTTCACCATTGATGGTCAATATAAAGCTTCAAATTTTGAATTCATTATTTGAATTTTACGAATTTGTGATTAGTTTGGATAGGTAGTTCGTACAAATAATTGAAAATGTCGTTTGGAGTTTATATCTCAATTTTAAGAGGGTTTGGTTTAGTTTATAATTGATTTTAGGAGAAATATTAGATTGAAACTCGAAAAAGGTGAAGTTTATGGAACTGTATCGCAATTGTATTAAAGTTGTATTAGATATGTTTCATAATTGTATTAAAATCATGAACAATACATTTATAATACATATTACAAACTTCACTCCTTTTTTAGTGATATCAACCAAAATAATTTAAGTAACAAATTTATACATTTATAACATAGGCACAATACATATTACAAATGTTCGA